GGGTGGGGGTTTTTCATCAAGCCTCACATGAAATTCCGCCCTTGGTTTAGGTGCTCCCCTAAGCTCTAAACCCTAAGCCCTGAACCCTCAACCCTAAGCCCAAGGCCCTGCCCTAAACCCAAAGCCTAAGCCCTACACCCTAAACCCTAAGACCCTAAAGCCGTAAAGCCCTAAACCCCTAGACCCTAAGCCCAAACCTTCCCTGATGTCTGGTTGAAGACATTGGGCTCAGGCTTTGCTAGGGAGTTATAAAGGAGTCGATGGGGTTCCTAATGGGTTGAAGTAGGGCTTTTATAGGGTGGGCTTTAGGCTTTAGGGATTTTGGGGTTTAGAGTTTAGGGCTTATAGGGTCCAGGAGTTTCATGGGAGAAGGGATTGAGATACTTTAGTTCATGGTTTGGGTGGTCATACTGCCCGACTTTTTACTCTGAACCAAGTAGCCCCTGGAACCCTGGCCTTACAGACGAAAGCAACTCCTTACGACACCCTAAACCCTAAACCCTCAACCCTAAACCCTAAAGCCCTAAACCCCTGAAGCCTTCGTGGAGGCCCAAGCCCTAAACCCTCAACTCTAAACCTTCTGCCCTATGCCCCTAAACCCCTAAATAAAACCCTTAGGGTTAAGGGTTCAGGGTTTAGGGTTTAGGGTTACTACGCCCCGGAACACCCCCCAAACCCCCCCCTGAACCCCTGAACCCCTTAGGGTTTAACGCCCTGAAAGCATCCACCCAGACCCCCTAAACCCTAAACCCTAAACCCTAAACCCTAAACCCTAAACCCTAAACCCTAAACCCTAAACCCTACACCCCAAACCCGTCCTCCAGACTCCGGCACTTGGCCGCCTGGCTGCCGCTCATGGTACGTCCCCCAGAGTGCGGTGGAGGTCCGGGTTTAGGGTTGGTTTAGGGTTTAGGGTTTTGCTCCATCAAGGTTTAGGGTTTAGGGCTTGGGACTTTGGGTTTAAGGCTCCTTTCAAGGGGCCTAAAAAAAGGCTCCGATATAAGAGGTCTATGTCCAAGAAGGGTTCTGCAAAGCTCCTTCAACCGGGTCTTGGAAGGGTCTGATATCATCTAAAAGAGGTCGGCCCCTTTAACCGCCAGCCTTAAAAATCCTCAACCCCAAGCCCCAAAAGTCCAAGGCCTACGTAAACCCACAGCCCCAAAGTCCTGAACCCTAAACCCTAAACCCTAAACCTTAAACCCTAAACCCAAAGTCCTGAACCCTGAACCTTAAGCCCATCCTGACTCCTGACTCTCCGAGTCTTCGGGGGGAACAGGCTGCGGTGCCATGCGACCTGGACCTCTACCTCTCCGAGGCATAGAGCTTCATAGTGGAGTGTGACGGTTTAGGGTTTAGGGTTTAGGGTTTAGGGTTTAGGGTTTAGGATTTAGGGTTTAGGGTTTAGGCTCTAGGCCAATATCATTCCTGAGGCTTCCTTATTCCTATAGTCACAATGACTATTCTTCTCCTCATGATAATTTGTAGTTTACTGCTACTACTACTGCTACTAGTACTACTAGTTCTACTAGTTCTACTAGTACTACTAGTACTACTAGTACTACTAGTACTACTAGTACTACTAGTACTACTACTAGTGAAGTTGAAGTTCAGTAGGCGCGATGCAGCGGAGGCTATTATGGCCTGAGCCAGGGTTCCTGCTGGTTTAGGGTGCGTTGGGTCGTAGGGTTTAGGTTTTAGGGTTGAGGAACCTTGGTGGATTTTCAATCAAAGGTGTTTGTCAGCATTTGTTCAAAGGCTGTTTTTTTTTAATGTTTTCTTTGCGGGGATATAAGGTTTTATAAGGGTTTATAAGGGCTTCTGTATATAAGAGTTTCCTGAGTTAGGGTTATAAGTAGATGTAACTATACTTACCTTACTTATGACCCTACGTCCTAAGCCCCCTGAAGCTCGAAGTAGGGATTAGAGGGGAGTTTGCCTCTGAACGAGATGTGTGCCGCAGCTCGCCCGAAGATCTTCGGGGAGCTTCTCTTAGAGGTGTCCTTCTGGCGTCAGGCCGTGAGCGAGCACGCCAAGGATCATGCCCTTCATCCTGGTTACTCCACCACCGGCCGCCTGTCAGGACCGGCTCGGCAGGACGAGCTGTGGACATGGGAACTGGCGCGAACGTCGGCAACATCCTGGCCTGGATCGTCACACTGCCCAGCCTCAGCCGAGCACGAAGCTCGCACCCAGCACGCACTTTCACCCCCGTTCACAACTTAACGAACCGGGTGTGAATGTTAAAGGTGATCGCATGCAATGTGCTGCATTCCGCATGACCCGTGTTGCCCGGAGGATACCAATCCAAAACGTGCAGCTTTGCCGTCTGGGTTCTCGTGCTCAGTAACTTGTTACAAGGCGCATCATCCTACCGGACGTCTCGTGACGTTTGCACTCGGTGGCTCTCCAACCACGCCTGCATGTTGCCCTCACGAATGAAGAAGCCAACAACCACTTCCGACCCGTCCACGTGCAGGTTGGCAGGTTTTGTGGAAAGATAATCATCAGCGCGCTTGGTTGCTTTCTGCATGGTCGATCCGCACAAGATCGTAGTTGTGACTCTACGGTTTATCGGGAGCACTGGTCTACTCGCAGACCTGGACCTGTGAGCGTGACCTCAAAGTCGCGGCGGTGAGCGCCGGCATCCGACGGAACATGCTCGTGGCCGGTCGCATGCAGTCGACCCACTATCTAAAGATCATGGGCCACAGACTCCTGTTCCCCGGCACCAAGATCTGGTCCTGCACCTGGAAGAAACCCCAGTCAAAGAAGCTGCCGAGGAAACGGCTGTTTCGAAAGACTGACCCGAGGTTTGTAAAGCTGGGCCAGGTGGTGCCACTG